CCCTTGCCTAAAGCAGCCTGGAGGATTTCCCCCGCTCCACTTCTGCATCGTCTCTGCTTCTTCAGCTCCAAAGCAGAAACAAAGGGAGACATTGCTGAAGACTTGGGAATGCACCCTTCTCCCGATGCAAACATTTTAAAGCCCCCCCCCCCCCTTTAGTTGAGGATGCCGCGAGTCTGGTGACGGCATCGTTTGTGACCCCCGCCCTGAGCTTGTGCTTTGTTTCAGGTGACCATGGCAGACCGAGGGGCTGCCGACCGAGCGTGCAAGGATCCCAACCCCATCATCGATGGCAGGAAAGCGAATGTCAACCTGGCGTATTTGGGGGCCAAACCACGGAGCATTCAAACCGGTGAGGAATCCAGGGGTTGGGGGTTTTTTTGCATTAGATTCGGGTTTAGAAAGGGGGACTGCAATAGTAAACTTCTCAGCAGTTTTTTGCATTAAAATAAGCCTCAGTTTTAGTAGGGGGGACTGCTTGCTGGCCTACTAGTGCATCCCCCATACTAGGCTGTAGGCATGGATCTGTTCTGAAGGTCCACACCTGCCTGATAGTTTTGCTTGTGTGTCTGCTGCGCTGTATAATTCATCTGTGTGCTTCCTGTTTCCTTCCTTGAAACCACTACAGTAGTTTCTTGCAAGTGGGATGAACGTAGGTTCCCTTAACACTTGTGCATTTTGCTCTTTGCGTTCTTTTTGTGACTGTGTGGCTTATGTGTATCTCGTTGCTTTGCCTTCTGCGTTTTTTGTGGGTTGATTGTACACTATAGAATGACTTGTTGTATTTTAGCTCTTGACGACTGTATTTTTGATAAGTTCCCCATTCAGAGCTGTAATCTGCTCCAAAGTCGTGTTACATTAATGGACGTATTAAGATCACTTTGCCTCTAAAAGGTACTTTGTTAAGCATTGAAAAATTGTTCACACAAGGGAGGGAGGGTGTGTGTGCACACTTACATGCATGTGTTTACTTTTTACCATGGACACTTTATTTAATCTTCTGGTTTCCAAATACTCTTTTTCAGGTTTTACTATAGGTGTGCAGCAGTTGCATCCAGCCTTTATTCAGAGACCCTTTGGGTAAGTGGAAGTTTTTTTGTTTTTGTTTTTTTTTTTTTTTTTTTTTTTTTTTT